CGATGCAGGGCAGTGTTATTAAAACCATTTATTGCTGGATTATATACCCATGACCATTACATAAAAATGCTCTATATATATCATTTAAATTGTAGTTAGTCCTTTTAATGTCAGTCAGTCAGTCAGTCACTTGCTGTCTAAGCAAGCAGTTTTTGGCCAGACTAAACTGCGATGTTAACCAGACATGATGTGGGTAGTCAAAAGTCTGGTTCCAGTAAGACTATCCTCTATTTAGCATAACGGCTCAGGGCCTGCATCTGAGCACCATGAATCATGTTTGATCCCCACACCTCTACATACAGCGAGGAGGAGAGACGTTCAAGCGCAGGGTTGGAAAATGGGCAGAATTAATGTACACTTGATAAAAAGGCGAGGGAGACGAGGTAAGAGGTGTAAAGAGTCGTGACGACCTTCTGGTGGCAGAACGCACACCCAAAGTCCCTCTGTGATCCACGGATCCTCGAGCTCTTATAATGGGAACATTACACATCAATGTGAGTAGCTATGCAAGCATTTCTCTGAGCTTGTACATTTACAGTCTGTTCTGTTCTGCAGTGGCAAAATGCACTAACTGCACATCTTGTTAAACCTTTGTTATGACTGTATTTTATGTTTACATTTAAATCAATTATTTTGTGTAGGGCTTTATGTAGCTAAAACAAATTGGAAAAGTTTCTTAATGACTTAAAAGCTGTTTTATACATCAGTAAATCAAGACAGTGACTAAACAGTCAACTTTACAAAAATCTAAACTTTTATTACATTTAAAAAAAAAAAATATATAAACACAAAAAGTGAGTAAAAAACAGACTGTTTTAGCCCAGTGGATATTTGTTTTGCGTTAATATTAGTGTGTGCAAATTTACTTAGTAATAACATGACACAATAAAACTAAACACAGCATCCAAAATGTTACTGGAACATATTACAAAAATATTACGTCTCATTATCAATCCAGTTAACACTTTTGCTGTTTGACATTTGAAACCGTTTCTCTCTGATGCTGACACTGAGAAGAGCATGTTAAAAGTTAAATAAGTCAAGTATTGTTTAGTTTGTGATTGGTTGTTGGTTTGTATCATATTTGAAACACATTTCTAAGGCCTCTAAATGATGCCTTCTGTTGTCTGATCGATAGTTTATACTTTTTTAGCAAGAAATAGTATAATTTAGTCTAATTGTACAAACATCAACCTTCAGCTTGAGCTTCACGTGTCTTTCTGCTGTCAAATCTTTACTGATTTTATAAAGCAAACGTCAGAATAACTGTAGTAATATTTCCAGATGAACACTTACTGGACTGAAGCAGCTCAGCTTTACTTGATTCTCCATCAATCATTTTTTTTTAGAAAAATCAGTGTGTCTCAAATCTGATCATCAGGATCTTTTGAGGAGCGTTTATTTGTTCATCTCTCAATCATCATTGGATTGCATTGCATTATATGTTTGGATCATTTAAATCTCATCTTACTAAGACATATTATTGGAGATACAGAGAGACGACTGATATTTATAGCATTTTATGTAAGTATCTGCGATACTGTTATAAAGATCTCATTGATTTACATTACAAGCATTCAGAATTTCATTTTACTTTTTGTCATATAAATATCAGCATCTGCATAATCTTGCCCAGAGCTGTTTTTCCTTCATATCCTCACTATATCATACTATATGAGCCATAAAAGCCTGATGTATCAAATATTATAATGAACAAAAATATATATGGAACTGTTTAAATTTAAGATTTAATATGGTTTAAAATGTTCCATTTAAAAATTATATATTTCAAATGTCAGGCTTTACAGGATTAAACAATAACGGTACATCCGACAGAAAAAAACGTACCTGTGCTTTAGAAGTTGATCATACGCTTCACAGCCTCAAAGCACTTCCACTTGTCAGGGATGTAGAAGGGCTCAAAGATGTGAGGGAAGGGCGTATCATACCCACAAACCCTGCTGATGGGAGCCTCCAAGTTGAGGAAACACTCCTCCTGCAGAAAACACAGTCAGCTCCATCAACAGTTTGTACCATACACATAAACCTATACAAAAAAATGTGTCAAATACTTAAGAAATCAACTATTTTCAAATTGTAGAGATCTGACATTAAAGTTATGAAACATTAAAGAGATGAAAATTCTATTCAACCGATGCTTTAAAAAGTTCATACAGAGATCATGAAATTCAAACAATCACACAACACTTTACATGACGAAGAGATTTAATTTAGGCTTTTTCTCACATATGAACCTAGATCAACGCACATATATATAGAGTTCATCAAATATGGTAAACAGAAGCTCAAACGTGCTTGCTTGATGTGAAAGAACCAACAGGTTTGGTCTTGCACATCAAGCAACCGACTAAACCACTCGATTCGATGTCTTTATAAACTTTACAATGTATTGAAACGTGAATGTTTTGGTATAATAGACTTTCAATGGAGGGACAGAAGGTTTCATCAAGTCTTTGGAACGACGTGAGGGTGGGTAAATGACGACTTGTGTGTGTGTGTGTGTGTGTGTGTGTGTGTGTGTGTGTGGATTATTGCTTTAAAGAGTACTTTTCTGTTGATCAGAGGAAAATAAGCTAAATAGAGTGGCTGCAGATTTGACGTACTTGACGTACTTCTAACCCAAAAACTTCTAGTTCCATCATTCCGAAGTCAATGGGTTTTTGGTTAAATGTCTAAAATGTCTACTCTGGTTAGCACAATATATATTCATGTTTTTTCTACAACATAAAATAAATCAGTAATACCACCTTGTGAATTTTTTCAAAAGCTTCTACGTGTCTTGAGTAAGGCGGTTGCTAACAAGTGTCTAAATGTGTCTATAGAGGTTGTCGGTACATTAACGTCATCACACCGTACGCTTTCACAGCCTCATTGTGTTTATAATCACACTTTTGGAAACTATTCTAACTCAAACTTTCATTACTGAAAGAGTGATCAGAAGCTTTATGGTGATGACATTTAAGTCATGTGACTGTAATGTATTTTGTTTATAGACTATGTTTGGCTTTTTACTTCTGGTGATTATATTTAGGCTTCAAAACTAATGAAAGTTTTGTTCATTTGTGTATTACCGTGATGAACAAAACATGTAAGAATCATAGACTTTTGTTGGTCACGTTGGTCACAGTATGCAATAATCCAAATGCCAATGGAAAAATCCTATTGGGTTTTTGTCGAGGGAAGATTGGGAAGATTTTAGTCAAAGCCAATGTTGAACTTAAGAACATGACCTGAATATGGAGGAACAAGAAAACTATTACGGTGTCCAAAATCAAGAGCGACATGATCAACAGCAACAAATGGAAAAATCAGATTTTTTTTCCTCAGTCGTGACCCCAACGAGCAGTTGGTTTCTATTTAAGCTTCTAGAGCAGATTTGGAGGACAATAAAATAAGGCATCAAGCCCCAAATGGAAGCTGAACAAACCCAACTGCCAAATGACAAAACACACACAAAAAAAAAACACTTATTTGCACAGAACCTTTAAAATTTGTGCATCAGAAAAACATTAAAAGAGTCTAATAAAATCTGAAATCTACGGTCTATGAAGACACCTCCAACTCTTAATGGACGCTCCCTATTCAAATCCGAACACGGAAAGTGCATGAGCTAAGTGTGAAACAAGTCACACTTTGGGCGAACTCCTTCGTCTGCTGGCGTTTTCTGAAGTGGCTACAAAAGAGCGTCACGCTTCATTAAAAGGGCTTTGTGCTTGCCTTACATGATGGCCTGTATAAACAAAAGAAATGTGTTTCAGATTTGCATCGGGAGGCAGTTCCAGCTCTGAGGAGAGATGTCAGGAAAGGCTCTGCAGGTCCTGGATGCTCGAGTCCGGTCCGGTCTCAACCAGCCTGGCATCCTGCTGCTCCGCTACATATAATCACCGCTTTGGGATTTGATGTGGCATGACGAACCTAGTGCTTCTGCTGCTCAGAAATAGTTTTATCTACACGGGATGAATCTGAATCTGAAGCGTGCGGTTTGTAATGACTGGAAATGGACTCCAGGAAAGGACACATCAGGACATCAGCTGATAAGACAGCAGTTAAAATTAGATGCAATGCATTCACAACAATGTGCTCTCAAACTTTTGATGTTTTTAGCATTTACATTTGTTCATCTGTGATTTTTATCTTCTCTTTTACCATCATGGCTTGGATAATGGAGGATGTTATTTGAAAAGCAGCATAAAAGTAGTTTAGTAGTAGTTCACAAATGTAAACATACAGCAAACCAATCTAACATCAGCTAAAGCAACACATCACACTGTGTGTTATACTTTATGGGTCGGGGGGGGGGCACATTTGGGGGCAAC